TCTCATTGAAAATGACTACAAAATAGCGGACACACCGGTCGGGGCTCAGGCAGTGGCCACACAATCAAACACTCGACGCAAACAAAAGTCCAAAAAGAAAAAGTCAACGAAAAAGAAGTCAAACACTAATAAATTGGTCCCAAATTCAAGTGCTATCCAACCGAAACACATGTGTGAATGCGGTAAAGGTTTTCCTTATAAGTCTCTGCTACTCGTCCACCGAAATGATGTTCACCTAAACCTCCGGCCCTATCACTGTCAGTACGAGGGCTGCAAAAAGTCGTTCAAACGGCCGCAACATTTGGGTCAACACGTGAATGCCGTCCATTTGAGCCGCAAATACCCGTGCGATGAATGTTACGATCAATTCAAGACTATTCATAAACTTAAGGATCACCACAAGAAATGTCACCAAAAAGTAGGGACTAATGTATGACTAATTGAATCGCAAATGGAGAGTAAATATGAGAAAGTGATGTCAAAACTCATATTTAAGAAACTATTAACCGATGCAGAGATCCAGACACTTATTGGTGGATCAGTTGGACGCCACACACCCGACACTCAAGTGGTGGCCAAACCATCAAACGGTGAACTCAATCACAAATCAAGAGCTAAAACGTCGATAAATAAGCGAAAGTCGTCTAAATTGGTGCCCAAATCGCGTGGTATTATCTTGTATCTTTATTATAAATTATTTCAATGTTTAAATGTGTAGATTTGGTATCCTATGAACAGAAATAAATACTTTGTAATAAATAATACGGTACATTAAATATTTTAAAAATCAGTAATAATCATTTTAATGCCATATGAATTTTTATTTCATTATTATTTGATAAAATATGACATTTATCAAAAATAGACATTTAATGCTTTATTCACTAACTTATACCTTGCAACTATTTTTATTTTTATACACAATTTTGTTTAAAATATTATTTCAATTGTAATAAATGCCAGACTATAGTATGATATTATTTTAAAACTGCGAACAAATGTTTTATTATCTAAATTGTAATTTACATTATAGTGGGGTTTGTTTACCTATCAATTTGTATTTAGTATTGAATTTTTAAGTTATCTAACTAGTTAGTTTTTATTAAAATATTAATGTTAGAGTAAATGATACTTGTACCGTATAGGAAATTATGAATTTATATTTTATATTGTAATCTTTTAATTTGACTTTGCCTGTACTATGTATACTAAACTTTGTTATTTATTAAAATTAACTTACTAACTTATTAATATGAATATTACATAATTACATTGATTTTTTAAATAAATTAAATGCAAGTGTATATTTTTAAATTTTGATTAAAAATCACATTTTTATCGTAAGATTAAATCAATTTTATTTTAATTGAGACTTAAAATAATTCATTATTTAACTTTATCACATAAATAATGATTTTAGATAATGATTTACCAGGTAATGATTTTAGAAAACGTTTTCATATACTATACAAGTTTAATGTTTTACATGCAATATCAAATAAAATGTAATTTTAATTTTAATTATAAGGTTTACACTTACACATGGAAACTAAGAATTTTGAAAAGAGTAAATTATTTAATGTAAACTTTATACATATCAAGTAAACATTGTAGTTTCTAATCATTTACCTAGAGTCATGATTAGACAATACAAGTTAAAAGTTAAATCAAAATAAAACTTACCTTTAATAATAAGAAATGTACTTAAAGTTATAGTTTGTGAGCACGACTAACTTTCAAACACATCAAATCATTTGTTTTTAAATTTTAATTTACAATTCATTTATATCAAATGGAAAGCCTATCGGGTATACTGTTGGACAAACTCTTACATAAGAAACTGTTAACCGATGGTGACATTCACACAATCCTTGATGTTTTCAGTCATCGATTTGATCTCATCGAAAATGACTACAAAATACGGGACACACCGGTCGGGGCTGAGGCAGTGGCCACACAATCAAACACTCGACGCAAACAAAAGTCCAAAAAGAAAAAGTCAAAGAAAAAGTCAAAAACTAATAAATTGGTCCCAAATTCAAGTGCTATCCAACCGAAACACATGTGTGAATGCGGTAAAGGTTTTCCTTATAAGTCTCGGCTCCTCGTCCACCGAAATGGTGTTCACCTAAACCTCCGGCCCTATCACTGCCAGTACGAGGGCTGCAAAAAGTGGTTCAAACGGCCGCAGCATTTGGATTAACACGTGAATGCCGTCCATTTGAGCCGCAAATACCCGTGCGATGAATGTTACGATCAATTCAAGACTATTCATAAACTTAAGGATCACCACAAGAAATGTCACCAAAAAGTAGGGACTAATGTATGACTAATTGAATCGCAAATCAAATTAATGACACACTTATCATGACATGAATTTTTATTTTCATTGTTTTTAACTAAATTTATTTTTTATTATCCTGTCAGTGACATATTTGTACAATTTAATTTTCAATGTTTCTATTTTATAATTATCATGAATTGTCTCTTTATTATTGTTATTATCAGGGTTCTTTAGTAAATTTATTAAAAAACTAAACACAATTAAACTCTAATGTTATAATATATTTAATTAATTAATGTAGTGTACATAAGCTTTACTTTATTTATTACAGTTTGTTTGTAAATAATGTTTGTATTATTTAAAGGGTAATACTTATTTATTTAATTACATTTTAGTAATGTAAAAATAGTATTAATTAAATCATGTAAATACTTTTTTCACTATAAACAAAGTTGCTTAAAAATAGATAATCTAATTTTATATTATATTTTATTTGATATTTTAAAATTAAGTTTCCTTATTAATTGACAGCAAGTATAATAATTTGACAAAATTATAAACATCTAATTATATTGCAAATGAAAAGGGTACATTGCAGTCGCCAATATTATAAAAATATAATATTAATTAATGTAGCACAAATATAACCTATTTTATAAATTACAGTTTGTTTATTAAAATAGTACATGTGTAATTGTACAGTAATATTTGCATGATTATAAACCAGATTCTATACACAAAATATGTAAAATTCTTGATTTTTAAATTATGTAATTAAAATACTATTTTATATATAATCATTAATTATTTGTTAATATTAATAATTATTAATATTGTATATTTAATTATTATCCCGCTTATTTATGATATAATTAAAGTGTAGCATTTGGTCCTATCATGTATTAATATGCGTATCTAAAGGGGGTTTCAATAATTTGTTGTAGAATCTGAAAAGTCTGTCAAAATTATAATTAATTACAATCTTAAAATTGGACAATACTATGATTTTAATAATAAATTTTTTATGACACCTGGACATTGTGTCAAAAATGTACAATCCGTGCAAAACTGCACGTCTGCTCAGTTTAATTAGTGCGCAAATATAGATTTAATTTATAGAGACCTGAAATATTAGTCACAATCATATTATATGATTGACATATGTATTTATCAATAATAGATGATTCACTAACTAAATATACAATATAATGATTACTCTGAAGAATGAAATATATTATACGGTATAGTTTTTGCAGTTGTATATTGAATCATAAAAGAGACATAAATTATACTGAGATAATATAAATAACTTGCATACATGCAGACTTATATGGTAACATGCAGACTTTTTTTGTTTACGTAACATATATAAATGATTTTATTTCAGACTTTTTTGTTTACGTAACATACTGTATATAAATGATTTTATTTCAGTTGAATGCAATTTCTTATTGTTAATAGTTGTATTTGAATGAAAAACTAGGCGTTGGTTTCAAGTAAAATGTAAGTAAAAATTATATTTGTTACAAGTTGGGATGTCTAATTTTAAATTTTTATAAAGGTAATTATTAAGGTATTATTTTTAATTTAATATCGTAAATTCATATATTAAACAAAATATCATATTTAATGCAAATGATTCATTTTTGATAATTTTACATTTTATTCAATGTTACAAATTCTTACATTGCTTTTTTGTCAAAGTCTTCCAACCAATAACCACATTTGAATAAGATTGGTGAAAGTAAACTTGTCTTGGAAACCACTTTGAGGAATATTTTGGTAAGTTTTAACATTGCTGCTTTTTCATATTCAAAATAAAAAAAAATGCATTATTTCACGTTCCAGGCGATCTTATTAATTATTGTATTGTTTTTACAGAAAATGAGCGATCGAGAGCTGCCTAACGGAGTAAAGGTTCCCTGTAAAAAGCATGAACCTTATGAATGCTATTCAGAAATCAAAAAGGAAGATCTGGATGATCATGGGAAAAAACTGAATCCTCAAAATAAAAAGTATGACTCAGAATATAAGGCCAAAGTAGAAAAACAAAAAAAGAAATGAGAAAATTTTAAAGTTTTAAGTTCCTGAGTTTAAAATTTTGTTTCGTACGAATTCGTACTTTTCCGTACTGTCTCAGCCTCGCCGTATATACACTACTAATATATTTTATAAATCATTATCTTGTTTATTTTACAACTTCTACTATGAGCAAGGTGTTATTTTGCAGAATAAATTATTTATACAAAACAGTTTGTATTAATTCCCAAGTTAAATATTAATGTTATTTATGTTAATATAAAGTTTATATAAGCAATTCTACAAAATTTTATCAAGAAAATATTATACCAAACATTAAGCATAATTTTTATTATGAATAAAATATGTTATCAGTATTTTTAAACCTATAATTAAGCAAATGGTTATCATATTAATTAAACATTAAATATGTTTTTGCATTTTGTATCATTGCTACAAAATTACTAAATAAAATTGAAAATTTTTAAACTATTTGAAAAATTTGATTGAGGTTTATGTTGTCACAAGTAGTCATTTTAATAACAATAAAATTTATATTTCAACTCACAATTTGCGACACAATTTGACCGATTATTGTCTTCGGTATTATTTGCGGACAAAAATTGCAATAATTTGTTTCGGACAGTAATTATCTCTGTCCTTCATCA